GTTTTCTTTTTGTTTAACATCCCTCAGAAAAATGTTAACTCATATTCAGACACCACCTCTTATCGTTGAAGGGCTACAATTTAGAACCTTTACCGGCAATAACAATTTTGAAATTTTAGCCAAACAAAATGTGACACACCGATTTCATCAAAATCATTTTCTGTACTACCTTTCAGAATAATTACACGAGTAAATAAAGAGCAAACTCTTCACCTTCACCGCCCGCTGTTTGTACTTTTGATAATGATCAAGGATGTGGATTCATGACCTTTTTATAACCAGAGATTTCTCCCTACTCGTTCTGAGATGAGTGACATCTGTAAGCTAATAAGTTTAGAATACGCTCACACCCTTCAAAGTCGTCCTCGTACTTTTATATGGGAAATGTTATTTAAATATAAATCACACAAAATTAAGGCACAGTAATTTACTTAATAATGATCTTTATCGAAGAAATATTATTGACTCTCCTAATTAATTATTCTTGTTGCCAAATTGGAGATGTATACCATTTCTTTTTAGCATTTAAAAATATGAGCGGCCAAGAAATTGCATCGTAAACAATTTGTTACAATACAATCACTTGACAATAGTCAGCTCCCATCACTTATTATTTGGAATAATTCCTTGTGTGTTGATGTGAATTAAAAAATATTTCACTATGTAAAAAAGTTCATTCGTGTTTCAGGTAGATTTTGATCTACTTTAAATAATTCTTATGTTTCTCTGTTATTTGATCATGTATATGTACGACTTTGATTGGTCATGACGTGCGAATTTTTCTTGTGATCATGTTTATTATTAATTATCATTATTTTTATATTTTCCTTAACCACGCAAGCATTGTTGTCATTTTAATCATTTACATTTAGCATTATAGATTTACACATTGTAAGAACTCTGGATCTTAAGTAAGTGTCTTTGAAATATTTCGTATTATAATTTATGATACTTCATATATATGTATAAATATGCGCCCGGATCGAAAGATCCGAGGCGTATATTGTTTTCGTCCTGTCTGTCAGTCTGTCTGTCTGTCTGTCTGCAAACTTTAACCTTCGCTATAATTTTTGAACCATGAAACGTTGAGACTTCATATTTTGTATGCATACTCCACCACGTAAGCTCTTTCAAATGACACCAAGGACAATGACCTTGTGACCTTGACTGTGACCTATATGCTAAAAATAGTTTTTCTTCTGCAAACTTTAATCTTCGCTATAACTTTTGAACAATAAAAGATAAAGACGTCATATTTGGTATGCATACTCCACTAATTAAGTTCTTTCAAATGACACCAAAGTCAATGACTTTGTGACCTTGACTGTGTCCTATATGCTACAAATACCTTTTTTTAACATTCTCCATAACTTTTAAACAATTAAAGATAGAGACTCTATAATTGGTATGCATACTTCACTAATTAAGTTCTTTTAAATGACACCAAAATCAATGACCTTGTGACCTTCACTGTGACCTATATGCTAAAAATATGTTTTTTTAACTTTGTTGCCGCCGTCGGGCGCATAGTGTTTCACAAACACATCTTGTTTTACACCTACAATTGTAAATAATTCTTTTGGCAATCATTAATTATAATTATTTTATATATAACAGAGAAAGGTTTTTCTAAGTTGCAATAACATGTAACCCATCCCCTTGTATAAATTATGCAATAAAATATGTGAATAAATTATACAATAAATATGTTCAAAACAAAAGAAAAAACAAACATAAGTTTATTGTTATAGTTGACACATAATTAAAGATATATTGCTAGAAATGACAAAAAGATGTTTCGATTTTACGATTTTAAACATTGTTGGGATTATTTGGGTTGTGGAATTTCACGAAAAACTATTTAAGGTGTTTCGCTTCTGACGAAATTGAATTCACCGCGCAACTCGAACTGCCGGAAATTGGTCTGAATGTCGTTATAATAAAGAATTCAATAGGCAGAGAATTAATAGTTTCTACAAATAATTATAATCATCATCCATAGAAAGTAACATAATAACGATTTTTTATGACAGAAAACAGACATATAATAAGCATTTTACATTTCGCGGATGTGAACGTGACTTCCGGTGGACGGCAACCTGTAAATTCCAGGAAGAAGATATTGACATTTCGAGCATATATTCGAGCTTTTATCGCTCTTGTAGTGTGTAAGAGTATTAATTGGTGTGACGGGTAGGCAAGTGAATAAGTATTGTGTGATATTAGTAATACCAGACCGAGGTTTTTGTTGATTCATGGTTAGATGGCTACAACAAAAAATATCCCAGATGGCGTCGGCGATCAGAGCGGGGAAACAAAAAGTAAAAGAAGGGGGAGACCGATTAAAACAACTTCATGCCCTTCCTCTAGGGATAACTCTAGGAACAATTCGCCCAAGAAATCTCATTGTGTACTAGCATTAGACAATGAAGTAGTTTGGTGCTGTAACTTATGTAAAAACGAATTCATGTCGGACGAAGACAAGCTCCTTGAGTGTCAACGATGTAACAATCATTTCTGCATAAAATGTCTGAAAAAATCAGTTGAGGAATATAACATTATGTCAAAAAGTGATGTCATGTGGTTTTGTGGTACATGCAGAGAAAAAGTCGAAAAGAACATAGTGGTGGATAGAGAGATAGAGGATAGGTGTAAGGAAATAATGAAAATATTTGAGTCAAGGATTGATAAACTTGAAAAGGAAGTGCAAAACAAGTGCAGTGAAAATGATGTCCGTGCAATCGTCAAGGATGAACTAAATAATAAAGTAGCGTCTGGAAATTCTGAAATCACATCGAATAATGATGAGGTACAGCCTAAAGAAAATGTTACAGCAGTCCTGCAGGAAATAAATGAGAGGAAAAGTCGGGAGAATAACATGGTGGTATATGGAATTGAGGAGTGTGAGTCAGAATCTAGTGAGACACGACGGAACTTTGACTACGAGAAGTTGCAGGCTATAGGAAAGGGATGCCAAACAAATATTGACAATTCCGACATCAGTAAAGTGGTACGTTTAGGGAAATTCAAAAAGGATAAGGCAAGTCGCCCAATGCTTGTTACCCTTACAACAACAAAAAAGAAGGTGGAACTTTTTAAAGGTGCAAAATTCTTGAAGGATCACTTGGAGTTTGCCAAGGTGAGAATTGCAAATGACTTGACAAGAGCTGAAAGGGAAAATGAGAAGAAACTGTATGAAAGGGCTAAAGAACTACAAGGGACACATTCGGGGGAATTCACCTTCCGAGTACGAGGACCACCCTGGGCGCGCAGAGTGGTAAAAGTTCGGGTAGAAGGAGAGTAGATATAAAGAAGAACAGTGAAGATAGTGTAAATAGTTTTAAGTTTGTGAATAGACTAACTTGCTTTTATACAAACGCCGATCAGTTCAGAAACAAATTCAATGAATTTCAAATCAGAATCCGAGATGTAAAACCGATGGTAATAGGGATTACCGAAGTAAAGGCGAAGAATGCTTCTTATCTACTAAATCCCTCCGAATTCAACATGGAATGGTCACAGGAATACAATATGTTCTACACAAACCTAGAAGGGGATATTGGTAGAGGAATTATACTCTATGTGCATGAATCACTCAAGGCGGAGGAAATAAAAGTTGATAGCAGATTTTGTGAGCACCTGTTCGTGAAATTGCGTACTAGTAGAAATGAGACCATGCTTATTGGAGTGATATACAGATCACCATCAGATAGTTCGGAAGAAACCGGTAGAACTTTAAGGAACTTGATCAGTGAAGTATCAAAGCTAAACTTTACCCACCATTTACTGATGGGAGATTTTAACTACCCTGGAATTAATTGGGATATGATGACATCATCAAACATTCATTCAGAAGAGCAGAAGTTCCTTGAGTGCTTACAGGATAACTTTTTATTCCAAATGGTAAATAAACCAACGAGATGGAGGGGAACTAATACACCAAGTGTGCTAGACCTGATAATAACCAAGGACCCGGACACAGTAGTAGATATGGAACTACAAAGTCCTCTCGGAAAAAGTGACCACTGTGTCATCATATTCAGCTATGTGTGCAGAGTGGATGTCAAGAAAACAAAGAAGAAGAGAAAAAGTTACAGCAAAGCTGACTATGTAGGACTAAAGGATGAAATTAAGCAGACAAATTGGAGGCATATTTTGGGGGATGGCTCTGAAAACATAAATGAAATATGGACAAAATTTCGTGGAAAGATGGAGGATCTAGAGAATAAGTTTGTACCTACTTATGAAATTGGAAGGAAGAAAAACCAGCAAATTCCCTTGGATAAAGAAACTCTAAATGTCATTAAAGAGAAGAATGCCTTGGCACGCAAGTACCTGGTACACAAAGATCCAGATGTTAGAAGAAACTACAATCGTACTCGAAACAAAGCAGGGAAACTAGTAAGGAAGGCTAGGAAGAAATACGAAAAAAATCTAGCAAAGGAAGCAAAGAGTAATTCAAAGAGAATATGGCAGTATATCAACTCAAAGAGTAAAAGCAGACAAGGGATTGCAGATTTATGCACCGACCCTAGAGATCCGAAATCAGAAAAAACGGATGATGATGAAACAAAAGCTAACATTTTAGCGTACTTCTTTAGTAGTGTTTTTACCAAAGAACCAGATGGTGAAGTACCACAACTTAAAGCCAGAAACATCCAAATTCAATGGGAACAACGTTACATAAAGGAAGAAACTGTTAAGAAAATACTCAGAGAACTTAAGGTGGACAAATCTCCAGGATTAGACAATTTTCATCCAAGGTTTTTGATGGAACTACATTAGGAGCTGTCGGTACCACTAACTATGATATTCAATAGATCATTGGAGGAAAGAAGGGTCCCAATGGAGTGGAAAAAAGCCAGAATAAGTGCTATTTACAAGAAAGGGAACAAGTCCTTAGCAGGAAATTATAGACCTGTGAGCCTCACATCAGTCGTGTGTGAAACAATGGAAAAGGTAATGCGGGATCAGATCACTGAACACTTCACAAGGAACGATCTATTTACAACAAGGCAGTATGGTTTCATGGGAGGGAGGTCAACCGCACTACAACTACTCAGAGTCTTAGATGAATGGACGGAGGCATTAGATCAGGGACACACCATAGATTGTATATATATGGACTATCAGAAAGCATTTGATACAGTTCCTCATAGACGTCTTATCAACAAGCTGAAAGCATATGGAATAGGACTTGAAACAATTCAGTGGATCCAAGACTACCTAAGGGATAGAAAACAACAGGTTACAGTGAATGGGAGAAGTTCCGAGTGGCATGATGTAACATCCGGCATCCCACAAGGCTCCGTCTTAGGACCGATATTGTTTGTAATATTCATAAACGACCTACCAGAGATCGTCGAGTCAATGGTATACCTTTTCGCAGATGATACAAAGATTTTTAACATTGTGAAAGAAAATGGAGATCAGGAAGCACTGCAAAGAGATCTTGAAAAACTCACTCAGTGGAGCAACACTTGGTTGTTGAAATTCCATCCTGAAAAGTGTAAATATATGCATATAGGGAAAAAGTCTTCACAAGAGGTGTCATACAAGTTATTAGGAGAATCTTTAGAGCGTGTTCAGGAAGAAAAGGACATAGGAGTAATCATCGATGAAAATTTAACCTTTGAGAAACACATATGCGAGAAAGTAAAGAAAGCCAACTCGACATTTGCCATGATTAGAAGGATATTTCAACATTTAGATGAAAATACATTCATTCCGCTCTATAAATCTCTGGTTCGAACACACTTGGACTATGCAAGCTCAGTCTGGTTCCCATATAAAACTAAATATATTGAGATGGTGGAGGGAGTGCAAAGAAGGGCAACAAAGCAGATACCTGGAATGTCAGATCTTACCTATTCTGAGAGACTGAAGAAACTCAAACTACCAACACTCAGCTATAGAAGACACAGAGGAGATATGATAGAGATATATAAAATTACGAGTGGAAAATATGACACAAAAGCAGCCAACTTTGTGAAATATAGGAGAGATCATGTAGGGAGAGAAACTGCAAGGGGGAATTCCAAGCAACTATTAATCCAGAGAGCCAGATTAGATATCAGAAAATATAACTTCACCCTGAGAGCTGCTAAGATCTGGAACAGTCTACCAGAGGATGTTATAAGTGCGAAGACTACTAATTCTTTCAAGCAACGTTTGGATAAACACTGGGAAAATCAAGACATTTTATATGACTATAAGGCTACAATATCCGGAAGTCACGTAGTGAGTTATACTAAAACTGAAGTAGGATATAGGGAGTCCAATGAAGAGGATCCTTAGGGAGCCTGAATTGGAAACCAACGATAAGTAACGATAAGTAACGATAAGTAACGATAAGTAGATATGTGAACCGGATTACGATAATGTAAACAAAAAGCAGACGAGAAGTCAAGGTCTGCGCGGTAACTTTGGTTGAGATGGTGAAACCAAAGTACAGACGCCATGGGTTCGTCTCGAAAAAGCAGAAGGAGAGATATGATAAAGTATCTGCAGGGCAATTGACTCGATGGATTAGGGGAGCTATCCTTACAGACCACAATTACTCCGCCAGTGCAACCCCTGTCAGCGTTGATCACGATCACGGTTTGTACATGTAAAATACGTAATCCAAAAGACTCGTTTTCATATCTGCATCTAAATTACCATGATTACACAGAGGTCTATTAGAAATATTAGAAATATTAAAGGGAGGTACATGAATTTGTTGATGTTCATTTTATATACCAGGTCCATTCTAAAGACTTTTTGAACTATGACTACGTGTAGCTATTTAAAAAAAAAATTATGATAGTTAAAGATGTGCACCAAAAGAGAAGATATTGAATTTTTCTCAATATTTCATTGAAAAACAACATGACATAACTAAGACATTGAAAACTTGTTTTTATCAAGTATATAATTGAATTTTCAAAGATATATTTTGATAAAAACAAGTTTTCATCTGATTGACAACAAAGTTTTAAAAATATAATTTTTTTTTTTGGGGGGGGGGGGGGTATTTTATTGAAAACCACATGGCCTATTGTAATCAAAGTGCAACATGGAAATTTGAATCATATTTGATAATAATAAATTTAACTATACATGATGTTATATGTGGATTTCAATAAAATATATATATACTAGGCCTAGCTGTTACAAAAAAAAATTACATTTGCTGATGTCTTACCTTACATGACAATACTTATCAAAGATAATTACTGTATTTTATTTTAATACACTGCACGTGATGAAAGATATACTCATTTGACCCACAGGCCTTTAGATTACTTAGAAAAAAAATTGAGGTGTTAAAAAAAAATAAAGGTATGGAACTCTTTTCATAGGGTACCTACTTTCACCAATAAAATTCTTTTAAATTGAATGCTTTACAAATTTACTTTTTATCCATATCTATCCATATATAAACAATCTTCATTCCTTCAAATTTCATTCCGTAATTCCTTATACTTCTTAAGATATTATGAAATCAATTCCGAAATTGACCTAAATTTTTTTAATTGACATCAGCTTGCCAATGGGCCCAACACTAATTGTTAAGCGGGAACGACAGGACAAATTTTCTCCAAAGTCTATTCTAAACTCAATGAATATTTGCTCATTTGAATTTGAGATTTACATGATTTTTCTTTAATTGGATCATATGATCTTACTAAGTCACAAACAAAATGTTAGCGGTCTAATTGTTTTGAAAATAGAAAGGTATATAATCATGATAATGCATTACGGGAAAAAATTGTTCAACCATATAGCTTCTTTTACATTCATAATCAAAATGGCGGTGTAGTTGTTGATGCAGATTTTAACTTATTAATACAGACTACTTAACCTTACAATCTGGAGTAAGAAATCAACTTTAAAATGTTGAAAGATCTTGCAAATGCTATGCAACTCTTCGCTGCACCTCATACACCCTCTGTTTACATGTGAATGACCAGGGGCCCAAGCAAATGTCGAGTAAAAGAAAGTAGATCATATTTTAGATTGATTTCAGAATATCTTGAGAAATATCGGTATATGGAAAAATATGTTGTATATCGGCACTATGAATTATTTTGAAAACTGGTTCTTGGAATTTAGTAAGTGTATCTAAACAGTCAACTAGTCAGGATGTGTTACAGTAGATAATAAAGAATGTGTAATGGTGATAATTTTTATTCATTATTCATAGAATTGCCAAATTTGAATATACTGGAAAGAGAGGAGGTGGTGGATGGGGAAGAAGTGACTACATCTGAGGATTGGAAGGAGGGGAGGAGAGTAGTAGAACTTGGAGTGTTAGCTGAGGGCTTGCAGGGATGTTGTAAATGTGGCTTACCATTACAACTTTCACACACTATTTCTGTGTTGACATATGGTTTAGCTTCTTTGTTAAAGGTATGAACTCACCAATTTTTGCACAGTTTGTATAAAAACAACCTTGAAAGGTTTTTCCTTGAATTTTTAGGTCACCTGAGTAAACTCAGGTGACCTATTGCTATCTGTTTTCGTCCGTCGTCGTGCGTCGTCCGTCGTGCGTCGTGCGTCGTGTGTTAACATTTGAACATTTTCAGCTTCTTCTCTGCAACCACTGAACCAATTTCAACCAAATTTGGCACAATGCATCTATGGGTAAAGGGGAACAAAAATTGTGAATTTCATGATCCCTGCCCCCCTGGGGCCTGAGGGGTGGGGCAAAAACCACTAAAATTAATGCAATCTTTAAAAATCTTCTTCTTTACTCCTGGACATCAAGCAGTCAAACTGTTTGCATGATTGTAATCAGCAATGAGTTTTCTACCAAAATTGTGAAATTCATGGCCCTGGGGTCAGGGGTTCTAGTGCTAGGGCGGGGCTAAATAAGTAGGTAGTGAAAATACATTATTTCTTTGAAAATCTTCTTCTCTGCTCCTGGGTATTAAATAAACCAACTAAGTGCATAGTTATGATGAGCAAGAGCGCCTCTACGAAAATTGTGAATTTTATGGCCCCAGGGTCAGGGGTTCTGGTGTTAGGGCGGGGCTCTATTGATTATATAGTGAAAATACTTGAATTCTTTGAAAATCTTCTTCTCTGCTCCTGGGTATTAAATAAACCAACTAAGTGCATAGTTATGATGAGCAAGAGTGCCTCTACCAAAATTGTGAATTTTATGGCCCCAGGGTCAGGGGTTCTTGTTTTAGGGTGGGGCTCTAATGATTATATAGTGAAATGCATGAATTCTTTGAACATCTTATCCTTTGCTCCTGGTTAATATGCTAATGATCTAATTACATATTTAAGTCCAGGATTTATTTTATTTTCGGTTTTACAAACCCTCCGCTCAAGGTTTTGAATTTTCAGAAAAAATAAAACAATTTTTTTCTGTCCGAAGTCAAATTTGAGTCGGGATCGAGATTTCAAATTTACGAACTCTCACTTCCGGTTATAAGATGAAACGGCGGGTAAATAAAGCTAGATCGAAGATAGCTTGGTTTAGTGTAAAATTCATCGATACGAGTGACATTTAAAACGTTTCACCCGTTCAAAGGACAAATAAAATGCTGACGACTTTGTTGCACAATGACATGCTGGTGAGATAATTATGTATTCGTTTCAAAAGTATATGTCTGTTAATTATTTTCCTCCCCCAGGTTTTAAACTGCCCGTGGTAGCTATTGCATATTGCCAGCGACATTGTTTAGGTCCCTGTTATAGCTTACAGTCTAAGCATCATTCTTCAGAAAAGGGTTGCTTATGCATCAGATGTAATGAATAAAACTATGGGAGAAGTTAAGTCCATTTAAGGAAGAAATAAACAATAACCTGAAGAAATAAAAAAAAATTCAACTATTAAAAGGCAAGAATATACAAATATATACAGCATGTAGTATCATTTGTATCAGCCAGAAAAATTATTTTACACTTAATTGAAAAAATGTTTACCCTACTCCCCAATACTCCCTGTCTGTTTTATGATAGGAATTATAATTTTAGGCATCAAGTAAATTTTAGAACAATGTCTACACATTCACCTAACACATATTAAAAAAATGAAGATATATTGAAAGACTTTTAAAGAATTGATTTTTTGAAATATATTTTGACCAACATCACAAAATTTATATAACTGGCCAAAAATGGCAGATGATGAAATAAGCAATTAAATGTTCTACTTTCCTATTTGTAAGCATTATGTGTCCAGTGGTATGGAGCCTATTAGAATAGCATAAAAAAAGAATGTACAAATGTTAATAATTGATTTATCAAATTTTTTTTTTATTTCCTTCTCCTTCGGGACTTTTTTATTCTCATGTTCATAACTAAACCTAAACATAAAAAAAATGCTGGCCTTATAATGAAGAAAGGGGTCTCATTCAAAATAGATAATTTCAGGGCTGCTGGGTCATTGGTACCAGGGGGGTACTTTGACTAAAAATAAATTAATGCTTTGAAATCTGCCCTTTGATAAGCAATGGTGCCTCTTTCAAAAATTGTGAATTTCATGGCTTTTGGTTTAAAACACGAACCAAATACAATCGCTGGAAAGTTGTTACATGATACTCAGGTGACCTATAAGGCCCGTGGGCCTCTTGTTCTCCATATAAAACAGGCAGTATTCCATATATCCATATTTTTAGTTTTGAAAGATGTTACATTTTTTTCTTTGAAGTAATTTGAAGTAATGCATATTTAAATTCTTTTTCCCCAAGCATTTGATTTCATTAATGGTGAATGAATTTAGAACAGTGACCTGTAATTAGGGATTCATTGATTTTACATTAACATTTCAGGTATGTTGCAGCAATACAAAGTGTAATCATATTAACCATGTAAAAACAGGGAAAAAACATGCAAGAGTGTGGGATGTAAATACAAAGCTATCAGCAGGTAAGAAGTTTAGCGTACACATCCCCTACATCAGTTACATGTATATTTATTATTGTCAAGTCACAAGAGCCTGATTGAGTTTTACCTGTCTATTCCAATATAAGCAAGTTTGTTGTCCCCATCAACAGCAACTTGGACGCACCTTGAGAAATTGTTGCTGTCTTGGGGGACAATAAACTTGCTTTTGTCCTCATAGCCAGTAAATAGGTATATGTATCTATAAATTGATATAATCAGTGGCGGATTTAAGGGGGGGCACACCCGGCGCGCACCCCCCCCTGAAATTGTCAAAGTTAGCATAAAACATAGTTTTGTCGAGGAAATGTTTCTGATGTCTACTTGGTAGACCTCATTTTTACCCTACAAAACCTCTAGAATCCAAGAGCTTCGGGGGGCTTCGCCCCCTTGGCCCCCACCAGGGCTTTGCCTCAAGGCGGCCCCCAGACCCCCTGCCTGAATCTGGCGCCCAACCCGCCAGGGTTCGACACTAACATTTTTCGGCGTTGGTCTAGCCGGACTAGTGCATCTTTAATTTTATTAGTCCACAGGCAATTTTATGAGTCCGTCAAAAATATAATTAAACAATAGAATTTACATTTCAAGGTACTTTTTATACTTTTTTTGTAATAAACAAAGCATGCGTTTTCATGAAATTTTTTATACCAATATTTGTTGAAATTGCCTGATCAGGAACTAGGATCGTGTTCCCAATCTCATTATTCTCTATAAATGATTACGACATCCAAATGCCCGACATCTTTCTTTATGAGTCATAATAAATCATAATCCCTAAAATGTTTAATTTCATTCCAATGAGTCCTAAAATTAAGTGCCGAATTGACTCAGAATTACATAACTTTCCGCCAAGATGCAAGAAAGCTAAAAATACATACGGGTTTTCCAGTAAAAGTTGTCGAGAACTTCGGTAATATTTTTCCCCAGAAAACTTTATTAGTCCATTCGGACTAATACGCCACAACTTTTATTAGTCCAAATGAAAATGTATTAGTCTGAGACTTATTAGTCTGAGACTAACGGACTAACGTTAATGTCGAACCCTGCCCGTCTAACTTCAATTCCTGGATCCGCCCCTGATAATGTTTAATTCAGAATAAAAACTTGATGAGAAGCAAGCTATTTTTAACTTATTGAAGCCAGAGGCTCATTTCAGCTTTCTGATCTTTTTCCATTTATCTGTCTGTCAACTTTTCAAAATATGCTTTAAAGGAGAGGGAAGTGGGTACTGGTATACTGTTTTACTCTTGTGTTTTACCACACAGTCACACCTTGTTTTGGCAATATGCCATATGATGGAATTCACTTTTATAGAAATCCAATGTCTGCTTTTTATTTATCCATGTGTCTGCCTGTATATTCACAAAAGATCCTATATTCACATCATAGAAAGGGTATAACAAGTTAGAATGGGACTTTTTTTGATTTGTTCTCTAAACCACTTGACTATTCAGATGGAAAAAAATTCTCTGTATAACAGCAAAGCCTTATTACTTTATTAATCATATTGATATTGAATCATCCTAATGTAGATCAATTCAAGTTTTGTTGCCATTACCCCTAGGGGTTTAGTTTGTTAAAAGTATGGGTTCTATTTTTAATTTCTGGTAATAAAGAGAGAAAATAAATGAGACTAAGGTGAGTGTTGTATTTCACAAGCTTCTTGTTTAAAGTGATTAGATTGATTTCTTTTTTACATTTATGAATTTGTATTTACAGCAATTGTACATGTTGGTATTGGTGCAATGCAAGTCAACAGTCTCCTTTCTGAGCTGAATATACCACCTGTAAGCCATGCCATGCTGGACAAAAGACAGAAAGAGATAGGCAGAGCTGTTGAAGATATTGCTGCAGAGTCTATGTCTGATGCTTTGCAGAAGGAACTGGAAATGATGAATGAGTGTGTAAACAATATAAATTCAGTTTAAATCTCACTATTTAGCTCAAATGAGCCAAAGGCGCAATAGAGCTTTTCTGATCAGATCAATGGGTGTCGAGCATACATGTGTAGTGGTCATATGGTATAACCTGTGTTGGTTAAGTCACAATTACTAACATGTATGTCACAAACATAACAACCCATTTAATTTTACATATAAGATACATGTATGTACTAATTGCATGCATTTTTGAAGGAAAAATTGTCTTATTTTCTTTACTTATTGATGGAGAATTAAATTATAAGGAATTAACTTCATAGTTATCCAAGTTCTAATAGTGTAACCTGCTTTGAAATGAAAGCCTCGCTGTATAGAAAGCCAAAACTGGCACAACCCAGGAAATACAGTATAACTTGGGTAGCTATTAAATTCATTCCTAGAATGAATTAAAAAAGGAAAATTTGATTGAAGAAAAAAAAATTGAAGAGTGACAGAGACACAGTCTAATCAAAATTAGATGTTAGATCTGCTCGCAAAATTGCTACACTAGCATCTAACAACATCCTATAGAGGGTCACTCAGAGTTCAAATTCGGAACAACCCTAGACTTATTTTCTTCAATTACGTCAACAAATAAACAATGATTTTGCAAGAGACAATTTGATTGGTTGATTAGAATTTGACCTCTGACGTGACCCTCAATGAGATGTTGTTAGATGTTTGTGTAGCGAGTATGCAAGTGGATCTAACAAATAATTTTAATTAGATTGGACAGAGACAGTGACTTCCTAGAGTATTGTGGCCCAAGCCCCAAGAGCCTCGTGTTTTAGTTTTGATCCCCAAATGAAAATCATAGGGAATACCTAATAATAATTGATAGTGATCAAGTTAATAGAATCTGATATACTGATAAATATAAGGTTTAGTCATGTACAGTATAATTTGTGTTGATAAATATGCAGAATATTATGCACATTAGGGGGTGTTCTAAAGGAGACAGGTTCACAGTTAATAACTGATGTCTGTTATTTAACTATTTTTCAGAGAGATGAACGAAAATGGACTAGTTGTTGCTGTAGATGCTGGATGGCAAAAACGGGGTAGCGGAAAGACATATGATAGTTTATCAGGTAAAAATACTGTAAAAGCACAAATATTCGGGGGGATTAAATTTTGTTTATTCCGTTAACAAAATTCAACAAAATTAAATCCCACACGAAATTTTATATGACTATATATTGAATAGGGCTTTAAAAAAAATATGTTTGTTTCCTGTAACATTCCAAAAAAATTAAGGGTCGGTAGGTCGGGATTTTTTTTTTCTTATGAATTGTCAAACATCCCTGGACTCAATATACCAGGTGTCATATTTACAATACAGTGGACACCCAACATGGCATCCAAAATGGCTGCCTAGCGGCAGAAAACGATCTTCAGAAAGTTGTAGGGGGAAATTGTTGTTATAATAATGATTACTCTTTATAACTAATCAAACTTAAATGTAAACTAGGTTGACATATTTTATGTCTCAAGTTAAGCTACAAGCTAATTTTCTTTTTTTAATAAATGGAATCAGCTGATTGATCAAACGAAGTTTTGCCATTTGTCAGAAAAAAAAATTAACCTGGGGGTAATTTGAATTGGTCGGTCGGGTTACAGGAAACAAACATATTTTTTTTAGACCTAGGGTTAGTTTTAAAACAACGACGAGATTATTTTTGATGTCAAAACAACAAAATTTTGTGCCCACGAAACAGATGCAATAAATTTAGAAAGACACATATCTCAAAGTTCAACTGTCCATATAAATTGTAAAATATTCTTCTAAAGAACAGCCATGAATAGTTATGTTGCTCATGCAGGTAAAGCATATTCAGTTTTGTTCGAAATATGGACCCAAGGGGGATAATGGAGCCAAAAAAGGATATAATGTTTACACGGGAATATATATAGGAGAAAAATCATTAGGAGTCGTAATGAGTCAAATCAAAATATTAAAATATTAGGTGATTTTACACAGTTAGCGTATTCGCTAATCGCTCTATGGCACGCAACCAATTTTTAACGACACTTATTAGAAACATTATTTACCAAAGCATTGTCAATACTTAGAACACTAACTTCAAAGAAGTAGGAATTTGGTCCCTATTGCATCCTGCAAACATGTTTTATAGCAACTGTTTACTTTTTTAAAGTTGAACGATTTGCATTAATTAATTATACAGCACCCCTCATGAAAAATAAATATTTGACCTAATTATGCTATAGTGCACTGGACGCACAGGTTCATTGCTGACTAAAGGGGTTAAAGGTTATTACCAATGCATACATGTAACATCAGTGATCGAGTTTGATTTTCCTTGCCAAAGTATTAAGACATACATTTTATTAAGTTAAGAAATGCATGAAAAATGCTTTAATAAAAACAACGAATACATCTATAAGTTATACAGTTTTTCTAATTTGTAATTTTTCAGGTCATTGTTCCATGGTTGGTCCTCTCTCCGACAAAGTATTGTCATACTCTCTGAGGTCTAAGAATTGCAGAGTATGCAGTGTAGCTGAATCAACCAACAAGAATCCAGCAGCCCATGAGTGCTCAAAGAATTGGGAGGGTAGTTCAAAGGCCATGGAGGCAGATATGGTTATTGAGATGGTCCAAGATCTACAGAAAAGTAAAGGAATAACCATTGATGGAATCATTGGAGATGAGGACTCTACCACTATTGCAAGACTGAAAGCTTATGTCAATGCTGATATTAAGAAGTTGTCTGATAAAAATCATCTAAAGAAACTGTTTACAAACTCTTTGTTTACCTTGAAGAAAAAACATTCATCTCTAACTTTGTCTGTGATAAAGTACATTCAGAAATGCTTCAGTTACTCCATAGCACAGGGAAAAGGAAATGCTTCTCAAATCAAAGAAGACCTTTCATCAATTCCATTACACATATTTGGAGATCACCAACACTGCTCCTCAAGGTGGTGCAACTTCATTAACAACCCTAACCTGAGGTACAAGTCACTTCCACATGGAAAACCCCTGAAAGATAGGTTCCTTCAGGATGATCTGAAAGAAGTCTTCAGTTCATATGCAAGTCATTCTGATCGTCTTTCATGCTTAGGAAGCACACAGTCGAATGAGAGTTTTCAAAGAATGGTGTGACGGTGTCTGCAAAAGACCCATCATTACAGCTCTTCTTCAAGCCTCAGATATAGAGTTGCTGCATGTGTAGCCCAGAAAAATGTTGGACACAGATAATTTGTAAAGGTTTGTAAATTTTTATTTTTTCATGCTTATTGTGTCATATCTGAGTTGAACCACTCAAGTTATCTCTTACATTTGAAAATTCTGCAAATTTTAATCAAAAGCAGATTGTATTGTATATGTATGTACATTGTAGTTGTACATAATAGATTCTTTTATCCTTATTAAAGGTTAACAAGAAATTGGGCCTCTCTCCTGGCTACTATACTCGCGATCGACGACAGTGCATTCTGAGGGATTTGCAAAGAAAGCGACAGAAGGCCATTTCAGTGACACAGAAATTTAAAAGGAGAAGGAGAGAATTGAAAGCCAGGAAGTACGTACTAGTATACTTTGATTGTCATTTGTCAGGTGTAAAAAACCTTTTGTCAACCTCAAAAATGAAAATAAACCAAGAACAAGTGAATGATGATAAGTATGAATTTAAGTGGGAATTAATATCTTGCATGTTACTAAGATTTGTTTTCTGAATCACCAAAGATTTACGGTATGCTTGTTATAAATAGCATGGTTTGATAAATATTTTTTTCAAAGAAGGGAGGGCATATTGCTTTGCTGCAATCTTAAAATAAAAATTTTACCTACCTACATAACCAGTTTTTTAGCTCACCTTAGCGGAAAGCTCAAGTGAGCTTTACTGATAAAAATGTATCTGTTGTCATTAACTTTTCACATTTCCATCTTCCTCTCAAGAACAACAAGGCCAATTTCAACCAAACTTGCTACAAAGTTAGTATCCACTGGGCCAGGTAAGATGAAACTCATATGGAATCATCTTCAGGTAGTGTACATTCAAGTTTGTTCAAATCTTGACCCTGGGGGATAGGGTGGGACCACATAGCCAATCAAAGTTTTACACAGGAATATATAGAGAATTTGAAATCTTTAAAAATCTTCTCAAGGACTGCAAAGCCATGATAAGTGATATTGATATGAAATCATCCTCAGGTAGTGTAGATTCTAGATTGTTTAAATCATGACCCCCAGGGATAGGGTGGGGCCACAATTGCATTTTACAGTACAATATATTTTTTTAAAAATTCTCAAGAATAGCAAAGCTATGATCGGTGATATTAATATGGAAGCATCCTCAGGTAAAGTAGAATTAATTTTATTTTTTCAAATCATACACGGTGGATCAAAGTTTTACATAGGAAAATAAAGGGAAAAAATCCCCCCCCCCCCGAAAAAAAAGAGAAGCTATGTTTAGTCATATGGAAATGTAAACATCCTCATGTATTGAAGATTTAAATTTGTTTAAATCCTGATCCTTTGTGGTAGGGAGGAAAACAGTGGGGAATCAAATCCAAATTATTACTAAGTAATATATACGAACAAAATGTTAAAAAAGTTATATGCTGTATTGATATGGAGGCATTCTTAAGTAGTGATAAAATTTAAGCCCCCCCCCCCCTTCAGTAAATTACATGTACCATAACTTTTCTATTCTGGTCTGCTTTGTGCTCTTTCCTTGCCGATGTGCTCAGGATTTTCATTTATTTACCACTCCTAATTTATTAGCTGTACATTAGGTGATTGTTTATTTTGCTAGGCCTTTTGTAAGACCTCAGTTTAGAATCATTAACAAATTTGTTTTACAGTATACATCTTCTTTACAGAATTCAAAGTATTTCTACAAAAGAAACAAGGGAAGGCATCAGTTATTTAACAGGATGTGATCTCCAGCAGGCCTCTGACGTCGACATCGTTGAAATTCCAGCTCCAAAAACAATTCCAAAGTATGATCATCTCCCTTCAAGTCAGCTGTTAAATGCTGAAGAGATCTATTTTGATTTGGAAACTACTGGACTCGGTAAGAACCTAGATTTAAATGTTAAGTCAATGCTGATGGTTATGGCCCTCTTCCGGTATTTCTTTTGTATGCATTTTGAAGGAATAATACTAGAGTTATCATAGAAAACGAATAGAAATGGAGACTCTTGCATAATTCCGGTATTGGTACAAGTAGTTGAGCATGTTTTATATCTTTCAAAACTTTACCCTTCCTTCTGAGGACACGGATTAAAAAGAAATTGCATATTCTGAAAGAATTCAAGCATCTTTGAAGGAGTTAAGTCTTGGGGAAGAGGGTTACTATTATTATAATGTTTCAAAATTTTTTAAATCATGCATACTGTAAACGGACTACATTTGGCTGTGTATTCTAATAGCGGATTTGGCGAAACGCAACAACTGCTAAATCAAGTACAACGCCAAATGTCTTGCACATATACACATAAAGAAGAAAATGAAGAAATGCGCTAAATCAAATCTACGCTTACTTATTCAAAACTCAATTCCTGCCAAATATCATACATGCTTAATATAATACATTTACAATATATCAATTTTTGTATGTATTTTTTTTAATGCTTTTAATTTTAAAAACTTGAATTTACTTAAGGAATGAATTAAATAGCAACCCAAATTATACTGTATTACCTGGGTTGGGGCAGTTTACGCTTTCTAAACCTCAAAGCGGTTTATAAAAAAGCGTAAACTGCTCCAACCCAGGTTGTAGCAGTATAATTTGGGTTGCCATTTAATTCACTCCTTATGATTTAATTTTCAATCATCAAGAATATAAAACAAGACAAATTTTCTCTTTATAACGCCTTCAAATAGTTCATATTTTAAACGTAACGTCAAGCGGATTGATACAATTTGATGTAAGTCATTGTGACGTAAGCAAACCAGATTATACAATTTAGATTAATTTTTTATCCAATCAAATGATGCGTTACAATCAAAATTAAATTATTTGTTTTTTATTTTTAGCAAGGGATTCTCATATTGTGCAGTTGTCTGCAGTTAGAAATGATGAGGTTTTCAACAAATACATCATTCCAGAAAAACCAATGTCCTCAAAAGCTACAGAAATTACTGGAATAAAAGTAGTCAACAATAAAATGTACCACAATGATGAGGAAGTTGAGACAGTCAGCATTAAGGATGCACTGATCCAGTTTATCGACTTCATGAAGAAATCGGAGTCAGATGCTGTTCTAGTTGGACACAACTCCAAAGTGTTTGACCTTCCTGTGCTGTTCAACATTTTGAGTAAATGAAACATTTTGGAAACATTCTCATCTGCAGTCATTGGTTTCATTGATACCTTACCTCTTTTCAAAATTTCGCATCCAAACCTTTCATCATAGTCACAGTTACACCTCTTCGAAGAAATTCTACAAGACAAATACAGTGCGCATGACTCATTACAGGATGTCTTAGCGTTGAAGAGATTGTTGGACCATACAGGACCTTCCCCTGAAGTCAAACTTGCTGCATCTTTCACTTCAAACTCTGCCTTTGCCATATTCCATCACAAGAACACAACAAAAAGTCTAATGAGCACACTAAAGCCTTTATTGGACCAAAAGGTGATTTCGAATAGAATGGGAAATAAGATTGCCAGCAGTGGACTCTCCTTATCACACTTACAACTGGCTTATCGCAGAAATGGTAGGGAGGGAGTACAGGATGTGCTGACAGAGATAACAGATAACAGTGTGCGTGTGACAAAATCTAGAAAAATCATTGATTCTGTTGCAGATTTTCTCAGATCTGAGCAGTAACGCAGTTGTATGATGTTCTTTGTATGTAACTATGTTATTGTTTGTTTGGTTGTTTGTTTGTTTGTTTGTTTGATTTCTCTGAGCCAGTGCTCACTAGTAATACCCTCACTCTGATGTGAATATGGACAGACAGGAATAAACAAAGTTAATTGACAATGGATTCGTACAAAAATGAATCCAACCATATTTCATGTCTAAAAAATTTCAAGCATCTGTGATGAGTAGTTGTGGAGAAAACTGTGACAAAAATTTATTATTTGTGGTACAGACAGATGCACAGATAAACAGGAAGTTGACATCAGATTCGTCTAAAACCAATTCCAACTGTGATGAGTAGTTGTGGAGAAAACTGTGACAAAAATTTGTTATTTGTGGTACAGACAGATGCACAGATAAACAGGAAGTTGACATCAGATTCGTCTAAAACCAATTCCAACTGTGATGAGTAGTTGTGGAGAAAACTGTGACAAAAATTTACTATTTGTGGTACAGACAGATGCACAGATAATCAGGAATTTGACATCAGATTCGTCTAAAACCAATTTCAACTGTGATGAGTAGTTGTGGAGAAAACTGTGACAAAAATTTACTATTTGTGGTACAGACAGATGCACAGATAATCAGAAAGTTGACATCAGATTCGTCTAAAACCAATTCCAAATGTGATGAGTAGTTTTGGAGAAAACTGTGACAAAAATTTACTATTTGTGGTACAGACAGATGCACAGATAATCAGGAAGTTGACATCAGATTCGTCTAAAACCAATTCCAACATACGGCATGGCTAAAGAAAGAGTGTGCTAAAACTTAAAGCATCTGTGATGAGCAATTGAGCATGATGAGTGATTGCTGAGAAAAATTGGACAAAAATTGTTACTGACAGAAAGACACACAAGTGTAGAAAGAAAAACAGTATAAACCCTGTGCTTCAGAGCAGGGGTATAATTATGCCATGTACTATTGTTTTTTTCAATGTTTATTGTTATAGGTAGTTTGTAGTTGAACAAAACATTTTCTTTCCATTCAAAATAAATCCTTATTTAGAAATTGACAACAATTTATTTTCATTACCCATATTTTGAGCATACATGAAAAATTAAAAGGTGTTCATTGATATTTATTGAAGAAGACTATGTGCATATTAAATTGAAACATGCACAAATGAATATGAAAAGACATTCTGTAAATGTTTAATATTGTGTATGACCTATACTTGGCAGTAATCTATTTTTCAACAATCGGGCTAGGTTTGATTTCTAGCAAAATTTTTATTGTGTACTTATAAATACGCAGGTCATAAAGTTAGCGATGTTCTTGATATAGCAACAGCAGTTTTCTGTCAAAGGCACAAAAAATCTAATGTTTACAGTATATAAAAATGTTGTATGTTACTTGTAAAGGTAACAATTTGATAGATCTCTATCACAAGGAACATGGATCTGAATAAAGTTAAATAGTTGATCATTTTTCATCTTGAATAAAGAACATTTTGTTTGATACAATGAAATCAAGAGAGATTTACATTGCATGACGCAAATTAAAGTAGCTGTTATTGGTACAACTAGTAGTTCAAAACATTCATTTAGTCTTTTTTTTTTTTATTCCCTTCATTTTCAATAACTGGAATTTTGCTGTGAAACGTTTATAGTGAAATGATTACTATGTGGTGGTTTTTAGCTCACCTGACACGGAAGCCCGAGTGAGCTTTTCTGATCAAAGATTGTCTGGCAATCGGTCTTTTGTCTGGGGTGTGTAAAGTTTGATATATTTTATTTCTTTGAAAGACCAACTGGCCCAATTTCAATTAAGGGGATTTAACTTTGTTCATAGGAAGTGTCTCGCCCTCTTGCAGTGGGGGGTAATTAAGAATTTTGGTGGCATTATTCAAAAATCTTCTGAAGAACCACTGAAGAAAAGATGACATTTACGTGAAATTTAGCTTCATTACATACCCTATATTCAATAATTCCTGGGGGAAGGATGGGCCACAAGTGGAGCAAAGTATGCATAGAAAAATACTTGAAATGTCTGTAAAATTCTCTCAACTCAGAACAGGCAAAGCCATGATTAGTCAAACTATTAAAGAATTATCCTCAGGTAATGTGAGTGGGCATGAAAATAGATATTAACCCCCCCCCACCCCCCCCCCCCCACCCTCCCCTCTTTCCCCTAAGTCTTAAATAGTCCCCAAAAAAATGAAATGTCCCTTTTCTTTTAAAGAAAAAGATTGAGTTTCAATACACTTATTCATTTAGGCAAAAAGAAAATTCCCCAAATTCATGGAAGAGGCAAACAGAATCAATCCGTATTTTCTTTGGTCAAAATTTGAGAAAAATGGGTCAGAGGAAATTCAAGTTAAAATATCTTTAAAAGTAACTCATATTGATATACAATTTTTTACACCATTTGAAAGCACTTCATCTAAGTAACAAATATACAGAAAAAAAAATACTTGTTAATTATTTCTAATTTATTTTCCAAGCTCATTTTATAAGCCCTGTGAAAGGAAAAAAAGGCATTTTTTTGTATGAGGGTGTGTGCTTTTTGATAAGAATTAAATTTTATCTTCTATCAATTATCATTATTATTTTATCAATATTTATATTCCCTATGACTACTTTTAAAAGATAGCAAAAGGTTGGAATGATTTGAAAACATTTCATTGTTTAAAATAAATATTAAATATGTTGGACACAAATTTGGTCTTTTTCTTTACTAAAATGAGAGAATTACCTCCCTTTGTCAGGAACACCTATAGCTTGAAAATTAAATCATATTAATATGCATTTTTCTGGCTTAAAATAGTTTATTATGTTTACATGAGCTCAACATAGAAAGCATATGACATAAAGCTTGATTTTCTCTCATTGAATGTTTAATGAATTGCTAACAGTTTATATGGCCACTTTTTAATCATATAGTTTCATTGTTGGAAGCTAAAAAACAAGGGCTTCTCGAGACACTGCATTAAAAATGAATGGTAAAGAATCAGTTAACTATAGAATTAAAATAAATGCCCCATTAAAGCTTATAAAAAACTTGTTAAGAATCCCAAAGAAATATCAATTGAAATATGTGAAATTTACAGCAACCGATGTCTGTTTTATAGACACATGAGCAGGTGGATTTCAGTGAACCAGATGATATAATCGTCATCAAAGCTGTCAACCGTCCTTGGCGACAAGGACTTACAACATCATATGTACTGTGTGCCAAAATTCAACAAATCATCACTGATTATGTTTGATTCACTGTAAGACACATAGTAAATTTTGATAGACATCATTTTGGGGTAGTTCACTGTTTTAAGGAAATATGTGACAGTTAAAATGCTTCATACTTAAATGTTATCCTATATTTTGAAAAAAAAAAAGAGTGAAAATATCTTATCAATCAATTTAAAAAAGCTAAAAAGTGAACATATTTGCATTTGTCTGAAATTCAAACAGATAATAAAACTTGAATCCATTTTTTAATGATAATCTGAATTTTCAAAAATGTTATATATGCACATAAATAAGCTTTCAAAGAGCGAATTTTGCATCAAATATGTTCCTTGAATGTTATTATAGATTTTCATTTTATAATTCTACAATTACGTTTTTTTTTAAATGAAATAGATTGAATTTTTCTCTTTCGGGGGGGGGGGGGGGATTATGAAAAAAAAAAACTTGGTATTAGCAAAGTACATGTATAATTAAAATTCTATGAAAATTAAAGAGAATATTTTGCAACCTTTGAACTCCATGAAGACAATAATTTATGTACATTTCTTCAGATTGATTCAACTAAACATACTCTATGTTCTTTCTATTTATTATACCCATTCCCATATTACTCAAACTACATTTTACTTGTTACATCTCACTCTTTTGAACGAGGATTGTCCCAGATTAAGCAACATTTTCCAATATTTTTTGATTCACTAATATTATACAGTTAATAATTTGCATTCATTAAAATCAATACCTTTAAAAAAATTATTGAAGTTTCAGTAAAATACATCTGTAGGTAACATTTTTCTCTTTGGTAAATGAAATAATAAAAATAGCTACAGGTGCAGCAGTGCACCGACGTCGTCAAAATCGTAATTCTTGATTATTTAGATTTTGTTCAGGAATCGTGCGATTTTACTGCCAGATTTAAAAAAAGACATGGTTAGGTAGGTACATGTACCAAAATATTTAACTTTGATATTTGAATCTTTAATGGACATCAAATCAAGAAAAGAATGTGTTGTTATATCACAATTTTAAATAATCAAAGATATTATCTAAATTGCCTGATAATCTGGGCACGATTCCGACGATCATTATGGTGCGGAAAAATAACATTAACATTGCAGTTGTAATTTTCCTAAATTGCTATACCTCACCACGCCAAGGTACGATGGTTTCAAATCTCGAAAGAACTTAGTTCAATGAAGTCCTTATTTCTGGAGGGGTCAAGGCTATACCTTCACTCTAGAACAGGTGTGAATGTAAACCTAACCGATCAAAAAGTGCCAACATACAGCAAGTATTTTGGGGAGCATGGAAACTAATTCAAAGACTGAAGAGTCGATTTTAATGTGCTAAAATATCTTCTTTTTTTTATTATCGGACTTAGGCGTGCTCATTGTCGATTAAAATATACTATGTAGCATCATTAATTATAATAATGAATAGCCTTAAAGCAAGTGGGGACCTATTGAAGACATATTTATTCCCGAATCTTTTGGTTTATGATTTTAAGTTTAAATTGCCATAAAATAAAGATATATTATAAATATGTAATAATACGAAAAAAAAAATCGTGGTCTTCTGTCGTATCTACTTTATTTAAGGACGTTCGATCCTGAGATTTTGAACATATTTTGGTCAGGTCCTTTATTTACAAAATTCTGCATCATTTTTAAGTTCTAGCATTAAATCTGAATTCTAAAGTGTTAATTTAACTATATTCAATGAAAAAACCGCGATTAAATTCCCTTCAAGTAGAATTAAGCTAGGAACTATATT